GGAATGCGGGACAGGGTCTCTTTCTGTTGGGGGTTGGGCTAGTGATTCACTTGGGTCTTTCCAGGTGATTGATACCTATTTAGAATATCAATCCCAGGTGCTACTCATTTAGCATTTGTTTGGCCTTTAGGGCTTTAGGTCTGGTTCACAGCAGGAGCATCCGCCCCTCCCACAGTTGTAAGGCATCTCATCTTCTGTGCTGTCTCCTTCAAGGGCCTGACCCTGTCTGCCTATAATATTTTTTTTTATTTTTTTATTTTTTTCAAAGTTTTATTGATAAACAGATAGCAATGAGACAGTTTCAAATCAAATTGGAAGTACAGTTTCAACAAATAATACACTGCATATATTCTTCTTAGTGGTTTTTTTCAATTTTTTTTTTGGTGGAACCGGGGATTGAACTCAGATCCTTGTGTTTGCCAGTCAAGCGTTTATCCTACTGAGCCATCTCCCCAGCCCCTAATATTTTTTATCTAACTTGGCTGCCTGCAATATTCCCCCCTCTGAAGAAGTAACCTGAACTGCCATGAAGGGAAATATGGGCGAAGACTGCTCTGGCTTCACGCTGAAATGGGTGGTACTTGTTGACTGGTTTTAGAGGTTTTATCTAAAGACCCTCGATAGATAACAGGCATTTTTCTCTTGGTTAGATGCATAGCTTTGAGTCTGGAGGAGACAAAGCCAAAGAATTTACAAGTCAAATAATTACAACAGACTAATTATGAAAAAGATGAGTTAGAACGTTTTGTAGGTCTATTAGTAAATATCTTTTTTTCATAATTTTATTGATAAACAGATAGCAATGAGACAGTTTCAAATTAAATCGGTAGGACAGTTTCAATAACTAACATACTGCATATATTCTTCTTAGTGGTTAATTGCTGTACAAGATGCGGACTTAAGATCCTATTTACAAACACCATTAGAATAAATCATTCTATTCATTAAGAGAATGTAGCTATATATCTATCCTAACCACTTTGAATACACAGATACAAAATGGACATTCATCTGTATACCCCTTTTTTTCTAAGTTCCGTTATTTGAATATTATAGGTGTGTAAACTCAGCAAAATATTCTAAAAGAGTCCAGTAGCCCA